AGGAGTCCCTGCGGCTGCTGCGAAAGAAGAACCCCAACGACAACCTCAATGACCCCACAGGTACCCCCTGCTCGACTGATATTTAGAGCCTGGAAGCGTGAAGTTCTGACCTTCTTTCCATGGAAGCATGGGTGGCTGAACCTCTGCTTCCCAAGGCAGCTCCCGGAGCTGGCATCTGGTTGCCAGAAGGCTGAGGCATGTGCCCTGATTCTGCTCACCTCCTTGCTGTCAGTTAAAAGACAGTCAGTGGGTCTCTAGCTGGGCACAGGAGATGCTCCCCTGTATCCATCATGGTGCTTTTGGGATGGGTTTATGTTGTGCTGTGTGCCCTGCAATATTGGAACAACAGCCTATGTAACTGCTATTACAGAGTGTAGAGTGATGCCCACCCTAGCGCATGCTGTGAGGGACCCAGTAGTTGAAATCCTGCGTGTGCAGCATGACCAAACCCTCCCAAAACAGTAACAAATAATTTTGCTTCTCCAAGGAGGCTGGAGTTCTGATCCAAGAGTTGAAAAAAACCCGAACAAAGCAGTTTTAAGAGTAGACCATCTATCATAAGCAGACTTATATAAGGCAAGCAAATTCAGGAGACACAGAAGTGCATGCACCTATGCCTAACCTCCTTCTTCATTGCAGGACTTGCAGAGCCTCAGTTTGTAGAGTTTAACGGAGGATTTAGCCAAGCCCAACTGGACTGGTTCAATGAAGTCCTCAAGTTCTCCGATGAAAACCAAGAAAAAGTCATAGTTACGGGTAGGTGCACGTAGGAGATATATGGGGATACATGCAAAAAGACTTACCTAGCCAATGGATGTTAGCCGAGGAAAACACGTAGCAGCTTTGTAGCTCTGCTGAGGTAGACAGGTAACCTGTGAAGTAGAATAGCACCCATGTTTCACGCTGGCGAGAGCTTTCTGTACGCAGTTAGATGTCTGAACTTCCCAGCAATGAAGGCAGAGTTAGGTTACATTTGAAGTAACTCTCCTGCTTCTTTCCTTCTCAACTGCAGGTCATCTGCCCATTCATCCAGATGCCTCAGACAGAGTTTGCATTGCCTGGAATTACAAAGATGCCCTTTCGGTCATACACTCCCATCAGTGCGTGGTCTGCTTTCTTGCAGGGCACCTGCACGACGGTGGCTATTGTTTAGACTCTCATGGAGTTCACCATCTGACTTTGGAGGGGGTTATTGAAACTCCACCAGAAAGCAATGCCTTTGGGACTATTTATGTCTATAAAGATAAAATGATACTAAAGGGAAGGGGCAGAGTTTCAGACAGAGTTATGCATTTCTGAAAAGAGTAAGCAAATATAAATCACTCTTCTTCAGGAAGTACTTGAATAAAATAGAGGATTCAGCTTATTATTTGCTTGTAGAAAGATGTGCATGGCTGATCCTTATATGTTTAATTATTTAATTAAACATATAAACTTATTTGTTTAATTCAAACATTTTTCTCTTGGATACTCAATTTTAGAAATTATGTTTCTGTAACAAAACAGACCTAATTTCTTTATGGAGAATAGAGAAGGCCAGTAACCGTATTTGAAATAAATATACTTGAATGCAGAATGTTGACCTGAAACACCCATTCCGAACTAGATTAGTATGTACTGTGAAAATAAATGAACCCCACATTATGAATACTGTCCAAAAAGAAAAAAAAGCCACTTTTTTGTATCAGTCAGAATTAAAGCATGCAGAATTGTACCTGCCCAGCCATTTCCATTTTAGGTGGTTTTTTGAACATCATGATCAGTAATGTCTCATGTCTGGCAGAATTATTCTGCCTTGTAGCTTAATACAGTCTTCTTAACATTGCTTTAAAAGACTAAAACAATCTTCAAAACCAGCTAAGCCCAGGGAAAACAGAGACCATTTATGCTACATCCTGTAATGCTGCAGATCACCTGCTGGGATCTAGGCAGCAGCACTGAGTGAAGAAGCCCTGACATGGAAGGATGTTGCTGTGCTGCATGTGGACCTGTGTGGCTCTCTCCCAGCCCAGTGTATTCACCTGAGCTTCCTCTCCAGGATCAGGAGCAGTGGAACATACTGACTGCCGTTGGGCTGCTTTCCAGGAGCAGAAATGCTCTGAGCAGCAGAGCTGTGATAGAGACCGCGTCAGCTGGGGGCAGTCGAGAGTGCACATCCCACAGAAAATAAAAGATACGGAAGCTTTCATTGCATTTTCTTTAGAAAATTAGTATTTATTACTCTGAAAAACTAAGAATTTTCAGTTAAAGGCAACAGAAAAAATATTTCTTCAGATATATTCTACGTATTTAGGGCAGGAACAGAAATACGGACTGCTCAAATACTCAGTCTCAGTGGACTATCCAGGCAGGTATCTAGAAGGTTTATGGCTGTAAATAGTCACTTACTGAAACAAAGTGTTTGCTTTACTTATGATACAGAGCAGGAGGTTTCCCAAAACAGTCAGAAAGTGATCTGGAGATGCCAGGATATCATGGCTATAACATTGGAACACACGAGCTCAACAGTGGTTTGAAAACGTAGGAGGAAGCCAGGTGAACCACTTCCCATAGGAAAATCCTCCACTCAGATTTGACAGTATTCCTCAGTTTCTGTAACAAATCTCAACCTGTGCTGCTGGAAGCAGCCAGACTTTCTTGGGTCCTCTCCAACTGATACGAACCCTTCATTAAGAACCAAAAGCAAAGACAAACAAGGTCAGAATATTTATTCTATACTATCTGCCACCCATTATATTACTGTTTTACAGTGTGTTGGCCAAGATGCTCGCATCTCCTTGTTCACATAAATGTACAGCCATGACACAAAGGGGAAGAGCGCAAGCACGACTGCAGCAGTCAAGCGAACTCCAGTCAGTGGGGTCCTAGGAAGAAGCAAACACAACAGAGCTGTTTCAAATCAATCTGATACGAAACATTCACACCTGGCTGCTGTTGGAAAGACAGCAGAGTCTTTGGCCACTCTGATGTAGCTCCTGCATGTGCATTAGCACAATCCTTCACCACAGAGGCACCACATGCCAGCAGGAAAGTTTCTGCCACCTCATAAACCAGGTAAATAAATAGGTAAAAGCACCCTATTTGCCCAGAGGCATGTGTGTGTTTGCCAGCACAAAGGTACTGTGTGGCAGGTTGGGAATTTTCATGCTACCAGGAATTTAGCAAAACTGCTATAGCACAGTGCTCGGAAGAGGCTGGAGGGGGAAAATGTGGAGCCACTGCAGCCACCCAGAGCCCTGTGCTCTGAGAAAGTTCAGGCAGTGACAGGAAGCAGAAAACCAAGCAGCCAAAATGAACTATGTGTTTTCGAGAAGCCCTAATGAGAAACAAAACTTACTTGGCTGAACTGCGACACAGCCTCATCCATACTGCTATAATCACCAGACCAAACAACTCTCTAAAAAAGCCAAACAAAAACCAGGTCAGAAAATAATACAAGCAGGTATTTAAAAAAGAAAAAAAAAAAAAAAAAACAACAAACAAGTTTTACCCCCGAACCAGCACTGTTGCTCCTATGAGAAGTTCAATGTATTTTACTACGATTGTAACTGTAAAGGTATTTACACAAAGTAACTTTGCTTCCCACCACAAACCTACAAACACATGTGACCCAGCTATACAGCTACAGAAATTCCTGTTTCCACTTTCTGTTCTGCTGCTAAACTTCTATTCCCCAGCACATTTCCCTCCTTAACACAGAGCAAAGCAGCATCCCAGTATTCGAAGTCCATGAACAGCCACAGTGCTTCACCTCAATATTATGCGAACACCTACTTGAGGTCACAACTGAATATCCAGGTGGGAAATCCTCCCTCCCTTGTCCCTGTCAGTCAGAGCACTCAGCAGCCTGTGCTACATAAACATGCACGTGTTGAAAACACTAATTCCCATTCCTGCAGCTCCAGCAAGAGCACCCAAAGCTGTTTCACTGTGCCAGTGCCCTCCTCTTTGAAAGCCGGAAATTCTCCGACTAAAATCTATCTGCTGCAACCAGGCAAGCAATTGGGACTGCTCACCCTCCGTTTGTTCAAGAAACCCCTGTCTGGAGCACTATGGTCCCTCCTGCTTGGTTTGATTCCCCTGGACCAAGAAAACTCACTGCAGCAGTCCAGCAGATAAAGTTTAGAAGGTGACCACCAGAAGGAGATGGCCTGGAGTGATGAGTTCATGCAGGGGGGATTTATTCACCACTTACCGGCCTTCTTCTTCATGTAAAATGTTTCCTTGAGCGTAAGCAAACAAAGAGCAAGCCAAGGCAACAGTCCCAACAATACATCCAGCAGAATGAAGGTCACAGAGGCTCCTCCAGATACCATTACCTGAGTTAAAAACAGACTGGCAGCAACTGCAATGTCACATGAAGTGAACCTATAAATCAAAAAGCAACTGAGTCGCTAAAAAAGATGCCTCCAGCAAACACACACACACCTTAGGCAGGAAGACTGAATTAATTCCAGCATCTTTATGACCAGGGAAACCTGTTTAAAAGTGCTGATGAAAATAAACACTAGTGGGCTTGGGAGCTTGCTTGCTTGGCAGCAGCATCTCAATGAAAAGTTTCCCATTCTCTCCAGCAAACACAACAGGCTCCAGCATTTGACATACATGGGAAAAAAAATCACGGAGTGGAGCACAGAGGAGAGAGTTCTCTTAAGCAGGAGGAACAGCCTTTCTGGAGCTCCCAGCCAGAACCAGATGCTCAGTGTGACCCAGAGGCCAGGAGAGCAGCCCCAGCTCCCCGCCAGCCTCACGGGCACAGATCAGCCACCTGCAGGGAGCCTCTTCCCTCACATTCCCCGATAAGCCTCTGCCTGAGGTTTGCGTCTGATGATGAGCATCACTGCTGACACCTCTGCCTGGGGAGCTGATGTTTAAATAGAGAACTATAGATGATGTGAAATACCTGGATGGGCCCAAAGATTCCTGTGGTTGTCCATGTCTATTCCCAGACATGGGGAATAGATGGAGGGGGAGATGGGCAAAACCTGGATGCTGACCCCTCCAGGCAAGCATTAAAGATGAGCTGCCAAAATTCAAGAGCTCAGTATGACCCAGCATTGTAATTGATTTCCCATTTGGCTGAAGTTACTGCAGCTCAGCAGAGGCAGAATTTGGCTCTTCCACAGACTGGAATGGCAAAATATCCCCTGGTGAATGTACATAAATGTGCAGTTATACAATAGTTGTGCTATTTTAATCTTTATTTTCCACAGATCTTGGCACAAAAAACTACTTGTGAGTTTAATATGCAGATTCTCTTGACCGAATGCCATTATGTTGAAGTTACACCTATTACACAAATAAACCTCCCCTGCAGCACTGATAAACCACTGGCAAACAACCCTCATGGGTTTTGGCTTTATGAATGCTTCATATGCTTAATGTAGCCAGAATGCTGAGAGGCTGCAATGGTGTGATCTGTGACAACAGCATACACTCCTGAAGATTTATTTTTTTTGGCATAAGTGTAGTTTATTCAGAGTAAGGATTCATCCAGAAAAGATCCAGTCACTTCGTGTATACAAAATGTCAGTTTTAAAATCATTTCTATTAGATGAAAATACAAAAAATTAACTATTTTCCAGAGTCTTGGACCAAATCTGACCTGATTCTCTCACCATGTGATATGGCATTAGACCATTTAGTGTACGCCCTTGGAAACTCAGCCACAGCACTGAAGCCTCTAACATATACCATCACTGTCCATGCACTTTGAGGGGCAGCTGCAGTACTTGATACTGAACAAGACCTTTAGCTCCTTCTGTGCAGAGATCATCTGCTCTTCCATGAGATAGATAAGCAAAACCATAGTTTACAACAAGGAAACAAAGTGTATTAATGTGCTGACATCAACACCAGCGCCAGGCTTGTGCTCCGCTCAGGCTCTGAGCACTGGAACCAGGGTGCAAAGGTAAGATCACCCCAGCAGCTGCCCTTTACCCAGGGCTCCTCCACTCACCTGCAGCTCATTGAGCTGATGACCAGCTTTTGTAGAAGCAGGTTCCACAGATTTTTGCCCTCAAGACATATTAGGACACATTCCTTAACTGATCTTAATCTACAATTCAATAGATAAAATTGGGTTTTGAGCAGAGACTGTTCTGCACACTGATATCATACCTGTTATTGAAGGGTTAATGCTGACAAGCAGCATCAGGGCAGCTGGCACTAAGTAGATGACCTGTTAATGAAATACAAATCTACTCTGTAGCAGAGCTTAATGAGACACACAGCAGTGCCCATCCACAGCATCTTAATCTACAATTCAATAGATAAAATTGGGTTTTGAGCAGAGACTGTTCTGCACACTGATATCATACCTGTTATTGAAGGGTTAATGCTGACAAGCAGCATCAGGGCAGCTGGCACTAAGTAGATGACCTGTTAATGAAATACAAATCTACTCTGTAGCAGAGCTTAATGAGACACACAGCAGTGCCCATCCACAGCAGTTGCCAGAGGTGGGGAACAGCTGCCGGTTCCCCACCCCTGGCATGTCCTGGCACTGGCAGTGCCCATCTCCACCGCTGCCACCCACCATCCTAGACCCATCGGCTGAGTGCCAGGCCCTGCTCCTCAGCTTCTGGGTTACCAAACAGCCCCTGCACTGCATCTTGATCCCAAGGAAAACCCCCGCGGGACACCCCCAGCCCCCAAACCTCCACCTGCACCAGGCAGCTCCGCTGGCAGCAGGAGCCCAGCTGGGGTCACCCACCCACACAAGGGATGTCCCAAGCACAAGGGACAGCCCCTGTCACCCACCCCTGTGCCCCTCAGCTCCAAGCCAGGCACACTGTGCCAGGGCCACCAGGCTGGCTCCTGTGCCTGGGGAAGGGCTGGCAAAGTAGACTGGGAACGGGAGGCTTTCTCTCTGATTTCCCCTTGAGACCGAGGCAGCCCTGCAAGCTGACAGGGATAGGACAAGGGGAATGGCTTTAATCTGAGAGAGGGAAGATTGAGGTGAGCTCTGAGGCAGAAGCTCT